GTCGAGTGCCGCCTCCATTCCCTGAAAACAGCTTAATCGGAGTGCACTTCAATGTTGCCGCTGGTCCTATTGAAGGCAGGATTCGCGAATACAGGTGAAGTCTTTTCTAAGTTTTCTTTTCGTTAGTTAGAACATTACTACATCCAGTGTATGTCTGATGACATAGGAAATAAAAGGTAGTAGATATACATTTTTGATGATAGTGATCAGTGGTGATAGACTAATAGGTGAAATTCGGGAAATGGCTGAAACTCTGATGAAATTTGAACTGGTAGTCTCAGAAAGTGTAAGTAATGCATGGAATGGAGATTGACAAGCTCTCCTTGACGTTTTCGTGTGTTTTTCTCGAAAGGCATACTATTCAAAGTTTTCGTAGTACACTTCTGAAGCATCTAACAATAGTTTCACACAAAGATCGTCAGAAGCCTTGGCACAGCACACAGCTACCTCTATTGAAGGCAATGAAAGCGATCGCTGAGAAGCGGAGGCAGTTTTCAGACGTCATCAGTAGAATGACGTTACAAACCGAACGAGCGCAACCTCTAGCTCACAAAACAAAAAGTAGACCGTCACGAACTCACCAGCTCTGCTCATTTGACATGTTACCTTGGTAGTAGCCACCGAACTTCTCAGGGTCAATGTATGTGGTTAACGTGGTTTATAATGAGTACTTAGGGCGAATATTGATAAAATGCTTGAGTAGAATGTAAAAATAGGCGAAATATCGTGCAGTGCGTATTGAACCGAAAACACGTATTCTTTGGTTGCACCAATGGCGCTACAGTGTAGCGGTTATGCATGGTGGAGTGGATGGTCCGGCGGCGATCAGAAGTGGGGTGGCTTCTCTGAGCACTGCACACCTCCTTAGCGATAATAAGTGGTCTATTCCTTACCACTCTGAAGTAGTGGAGACCTGGGAGCTGTCCTTGAAAGTACTTTTTATGCTTTATAGTTAAAAGCGTCATTTTATTGCTAACGTAATAGGGGGTTATGCTATCCATAATGGTTCCCCATTACAGACAGCATGACTCCCCCATTTTTCAACGTCTTAAAGTTTTTTTTTGTGTTTTAAGAACAGATCATATAAATACATATATAATTCTTTACACCTTACGTGTAGAAATTCTTGGCACATGTTTCAGGGCATCACTCCTAAATGTAAAATCTGGGTGTTTCCGTTCCTTGTGAGAATACAAGGCGTTTCTCGGCATACCTGTTGATCCATAAGTTCTACAATACAATCGCACCAATGAACATAACATTGCAATAACTTGCTTAGCCTCGATTCAAAGTTTGAACTTTGAGTTTCGCTTTTATGAAACCTTTACTTTATTTAATCGCGTCAAGTTGCCACCGTGAGCCCATAGAGTACGCCGACCCCCCTTATTTGCTAGATTTTTTTCTTAATAACCCGAAACAAGGGGCTACAAACTGTCTAACAATGAACCATGCGGCCGAGATTCTTCCGCCAGGGCAGCCTGATGACAGAATCGACGAAAAACCGCTATAGATTTCTCCACGGCGCGATTGGCGCGCTATTGGCGCGGTACGCCCAGTCTCGCGTCGTCTCGTGTCTGAGTCTCTAGCCGTTTAGCAGAGAGAGCGTTAGCGTTGAAGAGGGCAGCACCGATGAGAGTCGCATCAATGCGCAAATCAACGGGCAAGGAAGGGTCCCATTTCTCGGGTTTAGGCCGTTTTCTTGTTTTTTTCTTCCCTGTGCCACTGATCATCTCTAACTTAATTTCCAATGATCTGTCTTTTAATCGTAGAACCCGCCTTCAAGTAACATCGTGAGCTTGGTTTCATGACAAGATCTGGCTAGCGAGAGCTAGGCCTTTGGCATGCCGCAGTATCTTATTACATGATATTTTTTCTATTGCTTTACTCTTCCAGTCACTAATCCTCATAGTATTACAGCGCTCCACAAAACCCATGAGTCCACTCATAGGTTTCTCTTTATAGCTATTTCAGGGGGAGGTACCCAAACGAATTCAAGGTTCTCGATGCAGAAATATGGAAACATTACGAATGCAATAAACAGGTAATCTCCTTTCTTTATCTAGTTCCTTGTAACTGTCCAGACATGCATTTGTGCGTTTTTGAGCGAATAATCCACCCTAGTTTAGTGCATCCATTTGACTTTAACTGCGACCACAATTACTGAATTGTGTGTGCTGAACTGTTATTTTTCAGACTGAAGAAGTTTACAACTGGAAAATGGAAGTGCGAAATCGTTTACTGGCCGAGTTTAAGCCGGTAATTCTTTTTAACAATAATTGAAATTTGCTGGCAGCTTCTTATTGTTAGTTTTTCCCCACAATTATGACTCCTTTCAGCTATTCCCCACTAAATCCATCGAGCTCATTGCTGTGGGGTCAACAGTGAACGGCTGTGGAAGCTATAATTCGGACATGGATTTGTGTTTATGTATCCCAATGGATATGGAACTCGTATATTCCACTGAACGAATGTTTGTTCTTTCTTGTTTTTGTTATAGATTATTAACTAACTAAAATGGGGGAGCAGCGTTTTCTTGTTATTGTTGGACTGAATTACTGGCTATGTGAAAATATTTTCAGTGCAGCAATAAAGACATTGCGCCGATTGAATACCGTAATCAGGGGGAAGCCTTCCTTACGTCAGGTTGTTCGGAAAAGTGAAGTAATCTGCTAGTGAGCGGTGTTCTGGTTATTCTGGCTTTGTTTCGCAATTTAATAAAGGCTTCGGTATCGTGCTTTTCTTTTTTTTATTTTTTTTTTTATATCAGTTTACTTGAGAGTCTAGTGTGTGCCTAGTGTAGTCCCTAGTCGAAGTAACTTTGTGCTGAGACGTGAACCGCTAGGTGTGGTTTTGCACGATTTTATCTCTGCGTTCCATGGAGGCTTTGTGACTGGGTGGCAGTCTTATCGTTGCAATTGGTAATGTGCGTTTTGTATGCTTGAGGTAGTGATGTTGATTTTTTCTTAGTGTGGTTTTGTTCTTTTTCGTCTTTGTTCGATGCCATTGTGTTTCGTCAGTGGTCGCCCGTTAGTTGCTCATATCAAGAGTGTGAGGGTAACGTAGACATTATCGGATCCTGCTTGCCCACCATTGCTTATGTCGCTGTTGCCAGCGGTGCCAGCAGTTCTAAACTAAAAAGTGATAAATCATGCTAAGGAAGTCAAACTATCTTTTCTGGACGCCTATTAGCTATGTCTCATCGGACCACTGTGAAGAAGCTGACTAACTGCTAGTGCTATCCCAGCTAGTGGTCCCTTAGCTGGGTGGCCCTGTTTATGCGATACGGGTGAAACATTCGCTCCACTTGAAGGCTCTGTCCTTGTAATTTTCGGATAATGCTAGGAAGCAAGTCAGCTTTCATTTCCAAAAGACGTAGTATTGTGAACATACGATTCTCTCCTACCACCACACGTGGGCGATGGGTCGGTCGCTGCCCCACTTTTCCACGTTGCGTAAAGTTTCTACGAAATTTAAGATTTTTCTAGAAGTTTCCCTTTAAGTTGGCATTAAAATATATTTTGTCAGGATGGATGGTCATGGAAATGCATGACGCATGTGTCACGGGTTTCATGGACATTATAGGAAAAAGTGCTCGACATGCTGACAGAACCTCGCATACTTGATATGTGGTTAAAGCAAGTGTTTATGGAGTTTTCAGCTTCAGTACCACAAGCCCGAAATATTACCGCTCCACTGTCCCGCTTCGCAAACTACTTTCAGTTTGAATCTTTTGCCGGGTATAAACATGATTTGAACTTAGCGTTCAAGTTTGTCACATCTTAGTGCATAAGAAATGGCCTCCGACTCTAGGATCTCCAACTTTTCTCCATTTGTTTTTTTTTCATTCAAATTGTGAACGGTGAAACAGAATTTGAGAGAACTAACTATATTAGGTACCGGATATCTTAGTGTCGTTTTTTCACCGCGAGTTTCGGACCACCAATATTTTAATTCAAAATCCAGTGAGTGAAACGGCATATCCATCGAATGACTCATTAGCCCTTTCCCATTTACCAGTATGAGTGAAAACCTCGTACGATTAAAGTTAGGAATTTTTTGAGACGAAAAAGAGAGGTAGGTCGAATTTGACATCATCTGACAAATCATCCCTCTACCTTGCTAAACAGTTGGGCCTGGACAAAATATGTATACATTTAGTTAGAGTAGGGTCTGCACTGTTTGGTGGAAAATTTATTACTTACCAGCTCAACTGGACAATTTTTCCCGGAAGTCTTTTTTGCCACATGGGGTCAAAAAGCGCACCCTTTTTGAGCACACGTGAGTAGCAGATGAGCACATTTATTAGAATTTCTTGGTCAATCAACTTCGTTAGAGCGTCTGTGCACCATCGATCAGTAACTGCTAGGGTGTCCTACCATTCCAGCACAAGACTGGTGCAGCCCCGTTTTGACTGATTTAGCTAGGACCACCTTTTTGGCGACGGTTGCGGGCATCCCTTCAAAGACTTTACTGTCTTTTAAGAAAACTGTGAAAAACCGATGAGCATTTTAAATGGTAGTATTCCCTCCATCAAATGCAATGCTGGTTTGGTGGGCGGAGGTTACAGCTCTCAGCAAGAATTTTGATGCATTTGGTACACACATGCGAATTTGCACACTGGACCCAGGAATTTTCAGAAGAAAGTATAAAAATTGGGGGAAAGTTAAATTGTGAACCAACAATAGAAGACAATAAGCAACATATTTCGCAGTATTAATGAGCAAAAAAGGCCTTCTGGGATATTGATTTTCCATAGTAATCGGCCCCAAAACTTCCTGAACTCAGAAAAGCGACACTAAGATATCCGGTACCTAATAAGTACATGCCACAATTTTACTCTCCAGCGCACATATCAGTGCCTTTTCCTTATCCCTCTTCATTTTTCTCATGTGAATGCACCTCGATTCTTGTGATGAATGTCGTTTTTCAGGTTCCTATCATCAAAATGGCGTTACATCCACCGTATCAGGAGCTTGATCTAGACATTAATGTCAACAACACTGCTGGCATTTACAATTCTCATTTGATTCATTACTATTCTCTGTGAGTTTGACTTCGTATTCATTTTAGAATTATTAAAAAATTGTAGCTGGTACTCCTAAACTGAAATTTTGTTTGGACTTTCTGTACTATAAATCCTCGAAGATTGTGTGATATTGATTGCAGCTTAGACCAACGATTTCCCGCTGTGTGTCTTTTGGTGAAACATTGGGCGATCACGAATGGAATAGGAGATGCTGCAACCGGTTCATTCAATAGGTCAGCAGAATTCCTTCGCTTTTTTTCGTTTCCGTTGTTTCTTGAAGATTAATTTCTTTATTATAATTATCGCTCAATTGTATAGTTTCTAACTATCCTTTATTTATGTTGTATATCCTTTGAATTTTCTCACATCACATGTGCGAATTCAAGAACAGTCTTCGGTTTCGTTGATGTTTATCTGCTTAATAAGTGGTGCCCTATCAGTTTCTACTCGATGGAAAGCATCGGACTGTAACAGACGCTGGACGCTTACATTTTAGTGGAAAGGGAAAGTAACTTCAAATGGCAGGTTTCAGTGGCCTCTGGTTTCTTGTGTGGAACTAGCGTGCGAATGGCATGGAACCGCGTCCAAATCCCCATATTTCTCTTTTTAGAAATAGTCATACTGAAAAGGTTCTTTATTGAGACCGCTATCAGCTCATAATCTTGTTTTTTGTGCGCTTGTCACAAACTTACAATACCTCTATAATGTGGCGCATGAAAAGAACGCTTGACATAATATAATATTCATCCTTTGGTATGTCTTTATCCCTTGATTCATACTCTTCTAACCTTTCATTTTTATTCTCTTCCATTCGATCACACTTTTATGCTTGGTACGTTGCAGCTATTCCCTGATTCTACTTGTATTGCATTACTTCCAATGTGGAGTGCAACCGGCAGTGTTACCGAACCTCCAGGTAAAGTGTCTCGGATTCGATTGTGTACATCAGCTGTTAAACTCTTACTTAAATTTTTTGCAGCATCTCTATCCCGAGAAATTTGCAAGCACTCCGCCATTAAAAGAGCTAGAGTTGTTTCGACCTCTCCAATGTCCACGTAAGACTTGAAAGTCTACATAGTTTGTATTCTACTGGAGCAGCTGTTCAATTCAATGTATATAACATTCAGAACGACCAATGAATAAACAGACAATTGGAGAGTTATTAGTTGGGTTTTTCTACTACTACGCTTCATTCGATTTTGAAAATATAGCGATATCTATACGCGACGCACACGTTTTTCCCAGGTGAACGGTTTACACGTTACTGTTTTGCTTACGTGAAAGTTATTTTCAAAGTCCAATTTTTAGGCACACAATGTCACCGGATTCATTCATTTATAGAGTTTTTATTGAGGAACCTTTCGACCGAAATAACACCGCAAGGTTTTTGTTTGATCTTCCATTGGTTTTTCTACTCTTGAAATAATTAATGCATCAGTTTTCTCACGAATATTTTCGTCTTTTTGTACGCCTTGAATATCGTGACGGTCGCGTTCTGACGCTATTCGCAGTGCATACTTTCGCAGTTGAGAGAAGATGTGGGTGGTTCCGCTTTGATGACTGTGGATTCGGTGCTCGCTTACTTGATCGCAATACGAATCTGCAATCCACTCAATTTAGAACTCGTAATCCTTTTAGTATTTATCTGGGGAATAATTAGCGCCGGAATGATTTATTTTTTAACTTTAAAATTTTTTTGTTATTTCTTATGGTACCTGGTTATGCGAATTCACTCTCATCTTTCGAAGCCAGTTAATTATGTGATAGAAACGCTTGTAAAGTGGTTAGAACATACATCTGGAATTGGCCAACAGTCTTATTTATATGGTTGTAGGTGCGTTACGAAGAGTTATGTAATGGAACGTATTCAACGAGCTTTCCGCCAAGCAAGAGACGCATTCTCAAAGCACCCACCTTCACTTCAAAGGATAAAGGTTACCGTTTGAAAATTTGTACGTTGCTTGTGTGCTTTATTACACTTAGAAACGCTGGCGCGGTCTTATGTATCCTCAAGGGTCAACGTTTTGAAATATTTGCACTTGAAATATAGACTGGAAATTTAGTTCCAGCTTTAGTACACACAGTCTTGAACTTCGTAGCGTAGTGTGATTTCTTGTCAAGTTCAGTTTAATATGTGATTTTTCGGAATACAAATTTGATTATTTATTTCGATCATGTAATGTCATCGTTATGCTTGTTTGCTTGTTCGTTGTTGATTTTCTGTTACTAGGAAGATTAAATGTCCCATTCGTTGCTCTTGAGATATATGAAAACAGATTTCTTACGGTTGCCTAACTTTTTCTACGCCCCAGTAAGAGAGGGACCCACATAACTGGTGGTGAATGACAAATCAAATTATTCCAGAAGAATGTTGAATCTCTTAGAACCTTTACTTAACCCTTCACTTAATGGCAAATGAATGCAGCTCCTTCGTGAATACTCAGTAACATAGATGTTGTTTCTGAAATTCATAACAGAAAGATAGAAGACGATTGCTTCAGATTCCATTTCAAACGGTTTTAAGCAGTGTGAAAGAAATGGAAATCTTATTTGGTCATGTACTAGTATAAATTTTCTTACTGACCACGAGCCTTTTGCTGACCTACTGTTCAGAATCGTAAGTACCCAGAAAGGGAGACGGAGCCGCTGTCTAAGCCAGTTCATTTGATTTCATCCCATTCTTACAAGGGAGGGGCGGAAGTGGTGTAGTGGCAAGTGGCGCGCTCACCACGCGAGCGGTCCGGGGATCAAATCCTGGGTCGTGAGTCGCCCGGGCCAACCAAGCCTTCCATCCCTCCGGGGTCGGTTAATTGGTACCAGACTTGTCTGAGAAGATAAAAACAAAAAGGCAGACTCGTTGCTGCAGTTATCCTCTTGTGTGCCTCTAGTTGGTGGCATCTCTGCTTGAGGCAAGAAGTCTCTTTTACAACTTCCGAACTTCATTCTAACTTTCATCTTACCATATAAATATATAGAAATTTATCAAGTTCATAATGACAACAATTTGGTGATGTACTCAACAATATATACAGACATTTTTTCATTAGATCACTTCCTTTATCGACAAGGTGGTGCAGATTTGAATACATGGTTCAAATTGACTATCAACATGACCATTGAACCAACAAATGAGCCTATCTGAAAAGTATTGTCTCATCCTGGGAAGGGAAGAAGAGCACACTGCGTCCAGAGGTTTGTCTCGAGAAACTCTTTTCTTCACTTAACATTCTGGATGTGGACCACTAACAGCTGAGAAATGGTTAGAGCGGTTGATACACCTTTCTCGAGTGATAAGATGCTCTGTGTTCTCGGAAGATCACAGTCTATTGAAGCACTCGAGTAAAAGACAGAAAGGGCGAGGACACAGGCATCACAGGAGCA